GGGTGTAGTGAGTGTTTTAGATCCTAGATACAAAATGAAATCATTAGATTATTTTTTTCCTCGGATCTATGGAGTTGATGGTAAAGATCATATTATGAGAATTCAAGGATTTTTATCAGATTTATTTAATCAGTACCAATCTAGGCAAGGAAGTAGTCAACCTCCTCCCAATGCACCTTCTTTTCAGACTAATATTCCTTATAGTGAGGAGGACGGGCCCGTTAGTGACTTTGAGATGTATATTGCACAAGAATCAAAAGTTATCGAGGAAAGTCAGAACTAGATTTTTACTTAGATGAGAAACTTTTGCCTGGGATCCTAACTTTGACATATTGGTTTGGTGGAAGGCAAATGGGCCTAAATATCCAATCCTCTCTTCCATTGCTCGAGACATTCTTGCTATTCCTGTCTCCACAATCGCTTCTAGGTCTATATTTAGCATGGGTGGGAAGGTAGTAAGCCCTCATCGCAACAAATTTCATTCAGATACATTAGAAGCATTGATGTGTGCTCAAAATTGGTTATGGGCGGATATAAAAGGTGATTATATCAAAATTTTATTTCTTTAACATATTTGTCTTATTGTCTTTAATGTATATTTTTTATTTCTTTAACGTATTTGTCTTATTGTTTTTAATGTATATTTTGCCTTCTTATTAGGTCAACAATCATGCTCGTCATTTTTTGATGACACTGATGAGGAAGAAGAGGAATTATGATGACGAAGAATAGGTATGCAATTGGTTAGATATTTAGTCTTTCATGTGTTGCATGCTTCTTATGTATTTTATAATTGCAGAGAGGTGGACTTACCCGACTGGAGCTTGCAGAACTTAAGGAGACAACAATTTAGAAATTTGTGATAGAGCTTACTGTTTTGTATTTGTTCAAATTTTACTGTCTCAATTTGATTGTTGCTCTTATGGTTATGTTATACTCTAAAAATTAAATGGATGGATGAATGCACTTTGTGGAATGTTATTTATATATTTGTTGAGTATTCAAAAATAAATTAATATTTAAAAATTGTTTCAAGAATTAAAAATATAAAAAAAATTTGAAATTTATTAATATTTAAGAATTGACATTATAAAAATTGGCGGGCTTGGGCTGGGCCTGAGGTTACAAAAAGCCCGTCAAGCTGGGCTTAGGCTTTACCTATCATACCTATGACGAGCTTGAGCTGGGCTTAGACCTTTGTCATGAGGTCGGGCTTGGGCTTGGGCCAAGGGGTACTTGGTCCTGGCCCGACCCATTGCCATCACTATTAAGACGCAACGACCCACCCCAAAGTCTTAACTTGTGCTTATGCCTAAGTTGAGGATAGGTTGAGAGATAAAAGGAGGGATAATCGAGATAGAAGGGATGATGGGGATAGGAGAAAATCTTCCAAAAAGTTGCATATAGAATCTGGGAAAACGCTTGCACCATTCTCCTATTACAGCAAATACACTCCCTTGGTCACTTCCGTCGAGCATATCTTCACAGTCACAAGGACATGAGAATGTTTTGCACGAAATTTAGTGCATATCGCATTTGTTAAATTTTATGCATATCTCTTCTTTTCTTTTCTTTTCTTTTTTTCCTTTTATGACTTTAATTTAATTGACATATCACATTTGTTAAATTCTATAAATTTTCGGTATCACAGATGGCTTGATAAAGCTGCTATTATGGCATCCTGCCCTCCAACTCCAGAAGAACAATAAAAAGCGGGCATGCTTTGCACAATAACACAAGTGAAATCAAAACTTATGTTAAAAATGGTTCTCACGAGGTCTACTTTCCTTCCCTTAGGCTTAATAGTATCAATAGAGAAAACCTAAGGTTTTTAAAACCCAACCCGAGGTGAAACTCGATAAAGTGGCCGGTCCGGAGTTGACTAATTGAACCAGTTTGATTGACAAGTCAAACTGGTGACATGAGCATGCAAAAAGGTTTGAAATTCAACAAATCATCACTAAAAATTACACAGAAGTCCTGCAAAAACACCCTAAATTACCGCCGATGTCGACAACCCAAGCCAAATAAGGCGTGATTCTGGTGTCGAAAACACACCCCATGACCACGAAAACTCTCCCCTTACCCTCCTAACCCAAACCTATCTCACCCCACCTCTGTTTGGCTCGCCAATCGACCACAACAGCGAGCTATTGCCGCCAATTTATTTTTGCAATTTTCGGTCATTTCATTCATCAGAAATCAACTCTGTCACCACTTTTCCACTTATCGACCCTTCCTCTTCAAAAGCCCCAACATCTCAACCACCAGTTGTTCGTCGATCATCATCCTAATTTCGAGGGTTTGAGATGAATAGCAAAATTGATAATCTAGCCCGTGAAGGCCCTAGGTCCCGATTCAACCGGTTCAACCGGCTAGGCCGGTCCGTGTTTTAAAACCATGGGAAAACCTATTTTCCTAAGCAAGGGAACAACATGTGTTATCAAGATTTTATGTTTGTTTTACTTACAATTCAATTCGCATCTCGTACAACGATCAACCATCTGTCCAAGCTATTTCTTTCAAAAGGGGTTGAAAACACTAAACAAATTCAAGCAAAAATAGTGATAATCTGGTTTGGAATGGTGCTCTCTGCATTTTGTTGTGCCGTTGCATGGGCGTTGAGGTTCAGAGGTTGAAAATACTGAATAATGAAGGATTACAAGGCAAGCTAAATGATAGAATACCAATGAGCATCTTTTGGCTCGCCCCACACTTCTGCCTATTAGGTCTTATAGAAGGCATTGCTTTGAATGGAATGAACGAATTCTTGAGAGATGAATCGATGCAGGATTATGTATTGGCAATCAATGGGTTTGTTATTAATGGAATTAGAAGCTTCCTCAAAATACTATTACTGTGTGTTCATGCAAACAAAAACCTTTTAGGTAGCACCTGAAACCACAGTCGCCTGGACAAGTTGTATACGGGGATATCAATTATTGGATTTGTCAATTTGTGCTATTATTGGTACATATCAACAATGTACAAATGAAGGTGACACCCGAAAGTAGATGAGAGGTTAGAGATCAGAAAAATCTGATGCATGCAGAATGTAGTTTAAAATCTAGCTAGCTGCCTTTTGTATACCCCGAAAGTTTCTGAAAAATGTAAAAGAAGTATTTAAATCATGCCTTTTTTTTCTTCAAGAAAGTCTTTTTTTGTATATCTTTTCATCTAAAGTCAAGTCCTAAGTAATTTTTATGCGACTATGTGACCTTCACGTCTTTAGCTTATCCTGGCGTATTTAGTGTAGGGTATTTCAATTCAAAAATCAACACGAACTGACACCGATGATATACGTTAACTCCAACGTCAATTTTTGCCTTTTTGGTGTTAGAGATCGACGTCGGTGTAGAATCAATTTCAGTCGTGACATTTATCAGTTTTCCACATATATTTGGATGAGGGTACTCGATTAAGTTATTTAGCTAATATCATATTATTTACTTTGCTACCTTAACTTTTAGAAGGAACTGTGATTCCGTGACCCGAGCAAATCATTTTTCATTGATTGAAAATCCTGAAATCTTCACCAATCTAGTTGCTTACAACTTCTTAATTGCTTTTTTAGCATCATGCATGACGAAAATTACATGGGAAAAACAATCCAGATATATTTATGAGAATGGTAACCTGACATAATTGAATATCTAAGCCACTTAAGCTTTCCGCCACTTAAATACTCAAATAAAAATGTAATCTGTGACTGCAATTGTTTTTTATTACAACTATAATAGACTAATGTGACAAATGTATACGATGTTATTTGTTTAAAATTTTAGAAAGAGTTAGGAGCGAGATAGGCTGCCACGCCTAATCTTTTCCTATTTAATGCAAAAGGGATTCAACATTAAAATAAGGTAATTCAGAAGACCAAACTATTTTTTTCTGAATTCAACCTTAATTAAATTAGGGAGAACAACATTTTCTCACCCAAGGTTTGATAAAACGATACTTTTCCTCTTGTTAAGTTTCAAAATGACACTTTCCCACCCACCATTTTATTCAGTTAGAAAAATATGTTATTATTTGACTATAAGGATGAAAACACCTTTTACTATTTAACTTAATAATTATTTTATTATTTTATGTTATGTGAATAAATTCAATTACTAATATACTCACTCTTTATATATGAAATTATTGATATACCCTCAACTATTCATAAGAATTAAATTACCATTATCCTTCCAATTTTTTTATTAAAAATAATTTACTGAAAGTTAACTAAAATTTATATACAACTTTTTTTCACAAACTCATCAAATACAAGATATACCAACTTCCAACAAACACATTAAAATTTTCAAACACATTAAAAACTGAATCTGGGACTCCAAGAACTAAGATATATATAAAAATAGATATTTTAAAATGGGTTAATGGATCCATAAAATTATGAATATCAACAGGAAAACTAGACCCAGAAACGTTATCTTAAAGTTTTCCATTTTTTGGATTAATAACCTGTGCATTGTTAAAGACACCTCAACTGTTCAGGTGTTTGTCTATTTAAATTTGTTAATTTGTGTAGAGCGTACATTGAACTTGCTAGAATATAATGATAAATATTCTTTTTTTTTTTTTTTTTTCTTTAATACCTTTACCAATAAACGAATTAAGTTGGGTTTAATCTAATTTTCAAATGCGCGCACGCTGGGGATGGGGGAGGGGTAGTCATGCGCACGCAGGGCAGGTTGAGGGCTCGCGCAATGGGCGCTGGGTGGGGTTTTTTGTCGAACGGGTGGTGGGCGACTTGGCAAGGTAACTGTGAGACGGTATTGGATGTGGCGGAAATCATCCAGATCCTCCACAAAGCAAAAATCAGTAAACAACACTTCAAAACCAAATCAAATTCCACAAAATAAATAAAACAATCCACTTTCAACCATCAAACACAAACTTCTCCAAACAGCGATGGCAAAGGCAGGAGTAGGGGTGTGAGATGACGAGGAGCGACCGGTGGGGGACGATGGGGCAGATGGAGGTGGCGGCGAATGGCGGGGGAGCTGTATGCGACAGAGCAAGAGCTAGTGGATTTTGATGTTAACAGTAACAACCAAGGATGCAATGGAGGATTTATGGAGAAGGCATTTGAATTAATGAAAAAGAATGGTGGATTAACCACGGAGAATGATTACCCTTACAAGGGTAAAGATGAAACCTGTAATAAAGGGAAAATAAAAAATCACGCAGTGACAATAAGTGGATATGAAGCTGTAACTGCTAATAACGAGAAAGACCCAGAAGCTACGGTTGCCAAACAACCTATTTCCGTTGCAATTGACAAGAAAGATAAAAAAGAAAGAGAAGGAAAGGAAAGGAAGAAAAAGAAAAGAGAAAGGGAATTAAATTTTGATTTATGAGGCTTCAAATATATTGACTAATCATCTCCAAATAACTCTTTATATGATCTAAATTTTTTACTATAAAGAATCTATTCATAAAAATAAGAGTCCAATAGATTCTTCATCTTTAAAATATAAATTAGAGAGTAAGTTTGGTTCTCCACATTTAGAGAGTCAAATTTTACTCTTTATCCTAATTTTAATTAATAAACTATAAGTTCCTATGTATTTTATTTATTAATTAATTCTCTTTCCTATTAAGTCTCTTTCTTAAAAATAAAGAGCACTTTTATTAAATTTAAAGAGTCTATTGGATTTGAATAAAAATTTTGTTCTATATATTTTAAAATTAATGAAGATACTCTTTATTTATATGAAAGATGCTCTTCAAAATAAAGAGCATCATTGAAGATGCTTTTATCTTTTTTCATAAGGGATTTTTCTAACGGAATATAACGATGGGTGGAAAAGTGTCATTTTAAAACTTAACGGGTGGGAAAGTGTCATTTTGCTAAACCTTGGGTGTGAATATGTCGTTCTCCCATTAAATTATATATGAATCTTATTGCCCAAGTAACATTAATCACCTATAAATGGATATATCATTTGTGGGACGGTCAAGTTACAACATCTATTGATCTCACAAATAGATATGGCCAGAGAATCCTCTGCTGCCAAATGATCCTTATGATAGAGCCGTGGCTCGTTTTTGGGTTCAATTTGCTGAAAACAAGGTACACTTTATAACTTCATTCGAAACATTTGTTTGAAAGAATAATTATATGTGCACTAACCAAAACCCATACAACCCAAATACTAACTGACGTGACAGACCTCTTTTATTGCCATGTCAGTTCCCCCCAAAAACTAAAAAAAAAAAAAAATTCAAAATTTCAATTGTTAGTACTTGATTAGTACAATTTGGTTAGTACACATAGCATTACTCTTGTTTGAAATTATGTCAATTCTTTGAGGCTATCATGGACAGAACCGAAGCTGGTGACCCCACTAAAACTTTTTTTTTTTAAAAAAATTTTAAATCTTCTTATAGTTGTTTTAATTTTTTTTCTATTTTGATTTAAATTATTTTGCAAATTGATCCCACACATATAAAAATGAAATCATTTTTTTCTATTATTTTGCTATCAATTGAATCATATAAATAAACAAAAGTTATACAAAATTTATGTAAAAGGACAACTCAATCTTTTTTTTTTTTTTTTTTTTTTTTTGTATAACTCAGTTATAATCATAGCATTGCTCTTATTTATTAATCGAATATTTTTTATATTGCCTTCATCAATTATAAGTCAATCTAAAAATATAAATATAATACTTCGTACCCCTTAATATCATTTTTAGCATAAATTTTATATTATTGATTTTAAACTCACTCCCTCTGATACTAAATATTCCGTTCCTTTATAGTCATGATTATCAATCATTTGATGACATAAGATTATTGTTGCAGGGTCTTGCTATCTCGACGATGTTCTACAATAATGGAGAAGAACAAGAGAAAGGAATGAAGGAAAGCTTGGAAATGCTAGAAACATTTGAAGAATATGGGCTGGGAGAGAAGAAATATTTCCATGGAGAAAAGATTGGCATGGTAGACGTAGCATTTGGTTCGATTATTTATTGGTTGGGTGCGATCGAGGAAGTAATTGGGGTGAAATTATTTGAACCCAAGAAATTCCCTCGCTTGCATACATGGACAGAAAATTTCGAGAAAGTGCCTATACTCAAAGAAAATCTTCCAAATCGCGAAGAGATGGTGTATCTGAAGCTTTATCGGGAAAGTGTGGTAGCATCTGCATGAATGCAAGTTTATACACATTTGCCAAGAAGTTGTATTTTGAGTCTCCTTCTTGCTTTTTCTAATTTGTATGGCTTGGCAATAAGGGTTTATTAATTTTTTTTTTTTTTTTTTTTTTTTGTGATCAGAGTGTTATTAATTTTTGCTTATCTCAATTAATTTATTTCTTGATGTTTTGATTGTGTTTTCACGTACAAGTATTAATAATGATGTTACTCAAATTTCTCTTTTTTATTTATTTTTGTTGTAAGCAGTAATTGAAATTTTTTTGTTAATAGCACACTAACAATTAAAGATCTCCAAACCCAAGGATCAGAAGAATCACATTAGAAATTCTGAAATGGACCAGGATAATTGGCCCGTTTAACCCACAGACCGTCGGAAAAAGCCCACATTTCTACGAACAAAAGGAAATTTTTTGTATAACTTTGGTTGTTGGAAATCATAGAATCTTAATAAATACAATGCTCCGATGTAACCTGAGTTGTGATGTGAAATTACTCTTCGTGTGCTTCGAGGATTTAAATCGCGACGTCCATGGAAGTTTTCCTCTTCTCCAACGCGGTTAAGTAAATCCGTAGCCCCCACAGAGAAACTTAGCTTCTTCGAAAAGTTAATACTACGCAGAACGTAATTTCTGAGAAGCCTGCTGCCCAGCTTCATCCGCTGCTTAGACATTTTGTTTACCATTTATTATAATTATTTTCTTGACGTATATATGTTTAATATTCTTAATTTCTGAATCGTTTAAATTTATATCAAGAGTTATTAGACTTTTTTCATATATCTTATAATAATTTAAGCTCTGTTTTGTTTAGTTTTTTAAAATAGTATTCTATTCTAAATAGGATTCAATCAAATAAGATGAGATTCTGATAATGTGTTTGATACATTTTCTGAAAACATTTTCCAGGTGGAAGTCGTCGAAATGGCGCACAATCGACTGGATCTGGCCATTCGTGTATAATCTGACATTTTTTGATCATATCTATAACCAAAGATCTAGTCGTTGATGACGATCATATCTTGGCCGTTGTTAACACCTATATTTCTAGTCGTTGTTTGGTCATATGTCGTCACAGCGCCAACGGCCGAGGTGGTAGCAGCGACGACGGAGGCTGCTGGCAGGTGATAGTAGCTTAGGTGGATGGAGGTATTTTTTGTTAATTTTAAAACTTTTATTGAGAAATGTAATTTTAAGTTGAATAGAATATGATTTTATTTTAAAGAATATTAAAACAAACACAATTTTTATTTTTTGGGATAGGATATTGTTAGAATAGGGTACCAAACGCAACCTTAGGTATTCAAAACATTGTGGTACATACTTTAATTTGCTCAATTAACCATTATATTATTTGCATAAATTTAATAAATTAATTTAAGAAGAGCAAATTGCTTTATTTAAGAAATGTATATCTTAACTATGAACTGTGGTCTAGTTGGTAATTAGATTTTTAGTGGATGAACTTTACTTGCAATATTAAGGGTTCGAATCTCACTAAAAGCGGCTTGTGGTCAAGGGCATTTACCCTAGTCCCGATCGAGAATCAATCTTATACCTTCGGGTGTGATGACATCTTGAGGGTTAAAAAAAAAAAAAAAAAAAAAATGCATATCTTTTACAGACTTCACAAGAGGACAGGTCCAGCAAGTTGGATGCTTTTGTCTTGTTTCTGAAACGCGGTGAAGAAATTGATTGGAAATGAAGTCCGAAGAGTGGTCTCGTTCCCCTTACTTTCAGAGAAAGATTTTAACTACGCTTTTGGAAACTGATCATGAAATGGAGCTTCCATTCGCTACACTTTCCTATACTTTTTTCTTCACAATATATATTGCCAAAACAACTGAGACACAAAAAGTTTCTTTAAACAACTCACCAATATGATCCCAAATAAGGAGCTCTTAAACTTGAAGTTTCATAACTCCTTCAATGCCCTAATATTTTCCAAATTTACCTCTGATTTGATATCCTGGTTGCGCTACAACATTCTTTTTTGCAAGGCAGCGGGGTTTGCCTCAGGTAACATTTGCTACCAAATAATCTTTTTTTTTTTTTTCATTTTATGTGAATTTAAATATGTTTTAATTTTAACGTAATTAGTAGTTTTTTTTTTTTTTTTTTTTGATAATTTAGTGGTTGCTGCAGATTGCAGTTTTTTTTTAATCATTTAATTACAACTAAAAACGATAGTTCCAGTAATATTATACAGATAACCATGTGAAAATGTATTAATTTTAAAATTTCTGTCAAACATAACTAACACTAATGCTGAATTGCTGATGCATCAAAATAAAAGCATACTTGATTAAGTTAATGTATATTTCAGTTAAATAAATTTTGATTAATTTATTTATAAAAGAGCCAAGGCTTTCTAAGTTTGCATATGGGCCCTTCGGAAGAAAAAGTTTTTGTTCTCAACTAAATAAATAGGCTTATTATTACCTCCCCTGAGTTTTAAGCAAATATCAACAGGACCTCATAAGTATTATACTTTCCCTCACATTTCATAAAATCACTTCAGTTCTTACTTTCTCTGATCATGATAATTTTGACATTTAGATTTCATGGTTAAACGGAGGTAAGTGATGATTTTCCAAATCTAAGGGATGGTCAAGGGGATTTAATGATATTATCTTAAATATTAGGGGATATGAGAGATAATAGCTCAAATAAATAAATAGATTGAAATTTTAATACACATCCGTACGTATAATTTTAGACAGAACAGAAGCCCGAGTGGGGCACACTGCTTCGTTAACAATGCAAAAGTAAGTATTTGCTCTCTCTCTTTCTCTTTTGACTGGTAAGTGGTAAAGAATCAGTAGTTGGCCAAGATGCAGAGTAAAATTATACTATTGAAGCTGGAAAATATATCGAACACAGCACGACAAGCACAAGCGAAAAACGAAAACAGCCCGCAATTCTTTGCTTAAACTAATTTGAACTAGAGTTTCGTAGGCCAAAACACATATATACCCAGATGGAATCAAAGAAACTTTCAAGATTTAAGCTGGTAAGTTCATACGTGTATATGTATATATATATATTTGCCTTTTCATTTAGTTTATACTTTTTGTTTTAAGATTATATCTTAATTATTATTATATTTTTACTGTGGATTGCTAGTTTGTATGTTTGAGAATCTTAGCTAATTTTATCGTTTAATATTTCTTAAATTTTAATATATTTTGGGTGTGATTTGGAGTTCACTAAAGTTTGCAACTTTATTACAGTATTTATATTTTACTTTTTATATCATTGACTTGTTCCGTTTGGTATTCACTTTAAATCGATCTATTTTTCAGTTAATTTTTTTTTTTTTTTTTATCTATGTTTCATTGTAGATTTTTTTTATTATATATTCTCAAGAATTATTGATATTTATGAATTTATGTGTTTTTCTGGTACAAAAGGTAGTTTTTTTTTTTGGGTAATATTTGTGAAATTAGATTTGTGAATTTGCTGCCAATATGTATATGGGAGTTTTTGAGTATCAGGGAAAGTTTTTGCTGAAGATGTAGAATAAATATAGAAAAAAAAAATTCCTCTTTCACTACACTGAAATTTCTACAGTAATGGAAAATAGCTATGGATACTGAATAAGCAACCAGGTTCAAGTATCGTAATTTATATGTAAACTGAAATTGCATTAAAAAGTCATATATAACATCTTAGTTTATTCACCTGAGTGAGAGCTTTAACTTAATTATTTCCTTTTTTTTTTTTTTTTTTTTTTTTTTTTTTTTTTGTTGGTGGTGGTAACTCTGTTACTCCATCTGTAACCCTGTTTTTTCAAGTTTAATGGGTTTTATTAATAGCTGATTAGACGCCTTTAATGGTTATTTTAATTTCAAGGCTTGGTGTTCAGCTACAAGTTTGTAGACTTTGCTGTACTGGCTGTCTTAATTACATTCTTCACAAAGTCAAGCAATTATAATCTCAAGAAAGCTGCAGCATTTGTGAATATTCAGGAGGGACTATCAGCCTCCCTTGTGGTTGTTTTCATCTACATTTCCTATGCTTTTCTGGGTCGCTTCAAAATCATTATTTGTTCAGCGGTCTCCTACATTTGTGTAAGTATATATGTTTTGCATTATTAGTTAAATTTATCAATGGCAATAGAACAATATCCGTTGAAAATTTACGATGATCTTGTATATGAATATGATAAGCATTGTTGTTGTGGACTAACCTCCTTGGAACATAGTTCAAACAGCATTGTACAACTGAGGTTAATCAATTAAGGTTCTCTTCTTTCAATGTTTTCTTTTCTTTTATCCTTTATGACAATCGCATCAATGTATAAAGCAAATATATTATGGGTAATCATTTATCAAAACGAAAATCTCTAGAAGTAACATTTCAGGAATACAGAAGATACAGATCAAATGAAAAATGGCCAAACAGGCTTGTCTTGATTCCTCCGAGAAGAATTGCATATATAATAAATGAAGGCAAGTGATCACTTCTATATTACCAAGATAGCAAATGAAATACGTAAGATTAATTTTTTTTGTCTCCTATAAGATCCCAGACTGAGCATGTTACTATAGCATATATATAAGCTAATACTTTACCAACATTAAACAGAGTCAAGAAACCAACAATTGTTTAATTGTTTTCTGCAGGGCTTGTTGGTGCTGTACTTTACAGCCTCACATTTATTTGCAGAGTCAAAGTCTGACATATTCAACATAATTGGAGTGGTTCTATTAGCAGTGGGTGAAGCTGGAGTGAAGACTTTCTTAGATGCATTTCTTGCTGATCAGTTGAGGGCCCATGAACCAAAAGCATACGAAAATGAGGATCGAGTATTGGCTCGAAAAAGAATGTGGTGGCTTGTTGCCTGGTGTTGTAGTGTACCAGTCGTATTCTTTTTAACCATGTACCCATGGCCAAAACTTCCCATGATTTCAGCATTAGTTATGGGGAGCACTCTCATCCTCTTCTCATGTGGTATCCGTGTTTACCATTGTAAAGAATCAGCTGGTCCTGGTAGCCGATTAACTGTTTTCCCTGTTGTCAAGGCCTCCATATTGAAAAGGAACCTGGATTATCCTACTTCCCCAAATCAGTTCTTTGGTAATGATGGAAATCAATTATGTTTGTCACCTCAAATCAAAATCCTCAGGTATATATATCCCCTTATCTCACCTATTGTTCTTTTTCTTGTGGCCATTGGGTTGGTGTCATTGTGATAACCTAGGCCTCAAACAAGGGCTGATGATGGAGACATGATGCATACTTTTCCCTCCTCTGGTCTCCTCTGTCTACTCCATTCTTCATTTGTAAATATTGTAGGTTGAACTGGATAAGAAGTATGAAATGAATTGATCTTAGCATTTCAAAATTCCTGAACTGCAGGTGGCTAGACAAAGCTGCCATTATAGAATCCTCCAATCTTAGTGCAGAAGCACAACGAAAGGTGGGAAGGCTTTGCACTGTGACAGAGGTCCAAGAGCTAAAACTTCTTTTTAAAATGGTTCCCCTGTGGACTACCTTCCTTGTTTTTGGTTTGGTAGTATCAACAGGGAAGACCTTTTTCCCTGAGCAGGGAAACAACATGGATTCTCCAGATTTAATTATTTATGTGCTTATAATCCCATCCATTTCGCGTAAAATCAAGGGCTATCTGTTGAAGTTTGTTGCAAACTGGGCTACAAAACCTAAGAAGGAAGCTCAAATGTTAAAAATTTGGGCTGGAATGATGCTATCTATCTTTTGCTGTGTCGTTGCCTGGCGGGTTGAGGTTCACAGGTTGAATATAGTAAACGAAAAAGGATTACTAGACAAGCCTGACAACGAAATTATTCCGATGAGCATCATCTGGCTAGCACCACAGTTCTGCCTTTTAGGCCTTATGCAAGGCCTTGCTACTGATGGACTGAACGAATTTGTGATCGATCAGTTCCCTGAATCAATGGAGGAGTATGTAACAGCAATCAATGAGTTTGTCATCGGAATTGGGAGCTTCCTTAACATATTATATGTCCACGCAAACCAAAGCCTTTTCTCTATCACATTAAACCACAGTCGCCTGGACAAGTACTATAAGACTCTAACAGTGGTTAGTTTCATCAATTTTTGCTGCTATATATTCATTTCAACTATCTATACGAGCAATGATGGCAGGGTAGGGGTAGATGAGATCTTACAGACATCTGGTGCGGATTTGGTTTAATCAAAACTTTCTTTAGCTAAGTGTAGTTCATCAAAGAAAGATTACTTTTGGTGTTATGCATGCCATTCTGTTACAACCATGAAAGGGCGCATGCGAACAAGCAAATTAAGTGCAGTTTCCATGTCTGTCCACTAGTGTAGTTTGGTTTTTCTTTTTGGTTGATCAATTTGTTCAATATTTAGTCTTTGTAACTGTAAATGTTACTTTCAAAAGTAACTCGGTTTCATTTTAACTTTCTTGATTTTTTTGCAAATATATTTTGTAGAAACTAAGCATGTATTCAAGTTATGTCGGTTAAAGTTAATAACAATTCATCATCGACTTACTACTAGTTATTAATTGATCTTCCTTCTCTTTTAACTTTTTCTTTTTTTTTATACTGTTGAAGTGAAGCCATTAAAACGTTGTCGCATATGCTTAAATTGAATAAGTTGTGCGCTGTCGTTTTAATAAAGCTTGGGATAATGCTGATCGTTGATGAAAACAAGTGATCCAATGGTTGAGATTTACCCTTCAAGTCAACATTAAAGCAGCCCCCAAAAAAAAAAGTGCAGAAAAACAGATTAGTCTTCTTCTCTTCGTTTCGAAAAACAGAGTGCTCTCAAAATTTCCAGTTTTTCAGTCCAAAAATCAGTGTAGCTTCAGTGAGTGAGTGATTAGTTCTTAGTCATTCTGTGAGGGTTGTTTGTTCTCTCAAAGATTAGAGATACCAGGAAGAGTTTTCTCTAGATTAGGAGTTACAAAGTGAGTTTTTGGTTGTGATTGAGTGACTTTGTTCTTGTAATTGTAAGTTCTTGATTAATTAGTGCAGTGAGCCCCAAATATTCTGGAGCTTAACGTGGATGTAGTCTATCCAATATTGGATAGGTGAACCACGATAAAAATCTTGTGTTTGTTCTTGATTGTGTGTTATTGTGTGGATTGTTTTTTGATTGTGTGAGTGATTGATATTGGAGATTGATTATTAGGCTTGAATCTTTACAGTGGTATTAGAGCTAGAATTTCTAGGGTTCTTCGTTCTTTCTTCGATCTACAGGTTTCTTGAAATCTAGGGTTCATTAAAAATTGGGGGTTTTTTCGATTGATCAGTCTCTTAGTACTCTAAGGTTCTTAGATCTGAAATTCGAGGTGTGAATCGTCCAATTGGGTGGGTTTCTTGAAATCTAGGGTTCGTTGAAATTTGGGGGTTTTTTGTCTAACTGTCCTATTGTACTCTAGAGTCTTTAATCTTGTCAAACCGAGTTATCAATTCTCTAAAATTAGAGATCAATTTCAATTTCTAAGGCCTATCGGGTAAATTCTTGGTATCCTTACCAAAACTCTCACAATGTCCACCACACGGATGGAGATTACACAATATGACGGCAAAATCGACTTCAATAGCTGGAAAAAGAAGATGAAAGCGTTGCTTTCCCACAACAAGGTAGCTGTTGCACTGGAAAAGGACGCGGAGAAATGGCCAGAAGAAAAATTAAAGAAGAAGGCAGAAATAGATGAGGAAGTGTATAACCTGATCGTGATGAACTTCTCTGATAATGTTCTAAGGAAGGTAGACGGCCTGGAGACTCCTCTTGCACTATGGGGTAAACTCGAAACACTATATTCTTTGCAATCTGCACCAAATCTTGCTTTTTTAAAGGGTGCTTTGTTCTCATATAAAATGGACAGTACTAAGTCTATTGATGATAATCTAGATGAATTCCTTAAAATGACTCTGATATTGAAAGGTACAGATCAGGAATTATGGGACACCAGTCTAGCTATGATATTGTTAAACTCAATAACTGAAGAGTATCAGGTAGTTAAAAATGCTTTGCAGTATACTGGTACAGTACCTAGTCTGGATCTAATTACAGCTGGTTTAAAAGCTAGGGAATTAGAGCTGAAAATCCAAAAACGAAATGGTAATACATTGTTTGTAAAGGGTAAAATTGAGTCTGGTCAACCTAGTAAAGCTACTCAGCATAACCCTAGTTATAAGAATAAGAAGAAGGGAAAGGGAAATAATAAGCCTAAATGAGAAACAAGAAAATGTTTTTATTGTAACAAAACAGGCCACTTAAAGAAAAATTGCTTTGAGTGGATTAAAAAACAGAAACAGGGAAACATAGAGAGTAATTTAGCCTCAACCAAACATGTCATTGAAGAGTCTGAAGTTCTTACAGTATCTAAGTCAGACTGTGTACAGGATTGGGTATTAGACTCAGGATGTTCTTTTCACATGAGTCCAAATATAAAATGGTTTCAGGATTATGAAGCATGTGAGAATGAGATTGTTTTCTTGGGTAACAACAATGCCTGTAAAGTGAAAGGGATGGGTAGTATAACCTTAAAGCTGAATGATGGGAAGCTAATTAAATTGACTAAGGTTAGGTTTATCCCTGAACTCAAAAGGAATCTGATCTCCTTAGGAACTCTAGACGAGTCTGGTTGTTGTTATAAGGCTAAACATGGTTGTCTAAATGTGTATAGAAATAACAACCTTATCCTGAAAGGTGTTAAAATGAACGGGCTTTATATTCTCTGTGGTCACTTTTAGACTGTTTCAATTCTGCTCTTGTTTTCTACTAACCTTTCTATGACAAGAAGTGGCACCTCAGAATGATGGGCCACATGAGTCAGAAGGAGATAATATCCTCAACCAACAAGGACTGTTTGGTAGGACACTACAACTACTCTTGATTTCTGTGAGACTTGCGTGTTGGGTAACACACAGGGTGAGTTTCACAAAGGAACTCACCTTGCCTCAAACTGTTTGGAATACCTCCATTCAGATCTGTGGGGCCTGAAAAGGTCAGGTCCCATGGGGAAATTGTTATTTCATGTCTATAGTAGAGATTTAGTAGGAAATTGTGGGTTTACCTTTTGAAATCTAAAGATGAGGCATTAACTAAGTTAAGAGCTGGAAGTTGTTAATGGAGACCAAATAGATAAGAGGGTCAAGGCATTAAGAACTGATAATGCCTAGAATTTTGTAATGCTGAATTTGATCAATTCTGTAGTGACCAAGGAATTCTTAGGCATAGGACTGTTAGAATGACTCCTCAGCAAATTGTGGTTGCTGAGAGGATGAACAGGACCTTATTAGAGAGTTTGATGCCTCCTATTTACTTCAGGATTACCAAAAACCTTTTGGGGAGAAGTTTTGACTACTGCAGCCTACTTAGTGATAGGAGCCCTTCTAGTGCAACAGAATTAAAGTGCCCTGAAGAGAAATGGTCAGGGGATGCCAACCTTGAGCCTTTTGAGAGTGTTTGGTGTGTGCCTATGACACACAAGTGAAGGCAAGTTAGAACCTAGATCTATTAAGTGTTTTTTCTGGGATACCAAGAAGGAACCAAGGGTATAGGCTGTGGAATGAGAGTCACCAGGGATAAAAATCATAATTAGTAGAGATGTGATCTTAATGAAAATGTCTTTCCATGCAAACTACTAACAGTGATGCAGGTACTCTAGTAACAATGAAGAAAATTCTAGCCTAACGATGTTACTTCAATTGAGGTAGAGCCACAATACAGCAACTTGATCTGCCACATTCTGAGACTGAATTTGAACCTGAAACTACTCCCAAAACTTGCTAAACCTGCCCAAGTAGCTGAAGATGTAACTGGAGAGATTGAGGAACCTCAACAACTTGACTTGCAACAATACCAGTTAGCAAGGGATAGAACCAGGAGGATATTAGACCACCTGCAAGATATTCTTATGCGATTTGATATACACTGCTTTGCTTGCAGGTCCTAAAGTTCACGGAGGGAACCTGATACGTTTAAAGAAGCAATGAGGTCTAAGGACAAAGACAATGGTGGGCTGCCATGAAAGAAGAGATGCACTCACTTAAGGTAAATGAACATGGTCTTTGGTCCCTAAACCCCAAGATCATAAACTATACCAGTGTAGGGCTGTTTAAACTTAAAGACTGATGTCTGTGCATGATCCTCCTAGGTATAAGCAGATTAGTGCTGGGGTTATACCCAAAGAGAAGCATAGATTTTAAGGAGTTTTTCTCGCCGTGTAGTTAAGTACAAAACCATCAGACTTATGCTATCTTTAGTTGCTCATCGGACTTAGAATTAGAGCAATTAGATGTAAAACAGCATTTTTGCATGGTAACTTAGAAGAGGAGATTTTCATGTGCCAACCTCCTGTTTTGTAGATAAAAATCTGCCCAATCATGTATGTTCACGGCATAGTCTTTGTATGGTCTAAAACAGTCACCTAGGCTTGGTATAAAAGGTTTGATTCATTTATAGTAAGTGTTGGTTTTATGAGGAGTAAGTAGGTAGTTGTTTCTATTTTGCATTGAGTGATACATGCCAATTTATCTATGTTGTTGTTTGATGATAGCTACTTATTCAAATCTAATGCTAAGATAGTGATTTAAACAAAAACTCAGTTCTGAATTTGATATGAAAGACTTAGGTGTTGCTAAGAAAATACTAGGGATGGTAATAAATAGAAACAGCAGGTTGTGACCTTAAAATTCAGCAATCATACTTATAGAAATTGGTTGCTAAATTTGGGATGTCTGACTCAAAAATGGTATCTATGCCTTAGCTAAGCACTTTACGTTAAGTAAATCTCAAAGCCCCAAGTCTGATTCCGAGTTAATTAAAATGGAAAATGTACCTTATTCTAATGCAATAGGTTCAGTTTGTATGCTATGATTAATACTAGACCAGACTGTCCTTTGCTATTTCTCTGCTTAGTAGGTTTATGTCTAATCCTGGAACTGAACATTGGTATGCATTAAATGGTTGTTGAATATATCAATAGTACATCACATGGGGTTTGGAATATTATAAGAGTAATGCCCTCGATCTTGTAGGGTATGTAGATTCTGATTTTGCAGGAACAGGGATACTAGGAGTCAACTACCTCTTATTTCTTCACTTTTGGTGGAAATTGTGTGAGTTGGAAGTCTCAGCTACAACCAATTGTAGCACTATCCACAACTAGGCAGAATATGTACCAGTGGCAGATGTGTTTAAGGAAGCTTT